AACTTATTTCAGAATTCCGGCAGCTATCGCATGAGATAGTGAATCTACTGTACTTACAGTAAAGACATTCAGCCATCCCTACCTGACCATTCGTATATCGGCTGCCGAAATAATTTGTCATTCCCGCGGACTCAGGTCAATATTGGAAGCTTGACAGCGACAAAGATTAAGTCGATCGTATTCCCCCAACAGGACCGTCCAGGGCCGTTAACTTACCTGTGAGTTCGTTTTAAGTGATAGTAGACTTTGGCAGCATCTACCACACTCCCTCTTCCCTCACCCACCTGAGCCCTGTGTCAAGTCGTCCTAGAAGATGCTGATTCCAAAGTCTACGAGTTCATGTAACGTTGACTATTCTAGAACATATTCATAATCCAAAATTTGGTTGTCTAGGGTTTTAGATTGGGGGAATATCTTCTTCTCAATCGTCAGCACGGTCGCCCAGTCGATGCAGTACTTCCAAATGGCCGCCTCCTTCTACGTAGGGGCATTATTGCTGCGCAGGAAGGAGATTGGAACTTTCGTTGTTTTCAAGTAAGGCTTCTGCCCTACCGTCTTCTGTGTCCCCTATCATATTTATTATTCCTGCATATTTGATACGATATTTTCTTCCTGTCCATGTCTCAAGGAATATTTAGCCTTCTTTAGTTTACTGCCATTCCTTTTTTATATGGCAGGCTAGTGGACATGATAAATCAGCTTGGCCAAAAACTTACGCAAAGCGTTCACATTCTGACCTAGTTGTTCAAGTCCACTCACGGTGAAAGTTTCCTAGCTATGTGAATCTTCTATTTCATTTAGTCGTCAGTTAAAAATAATTGCTACTTAATTCATTTACGTAGCATTTACGTTTACGTTTCTTAATTTAACGTTTCTCCGTTAAAACTCTAGGGTCTTCACGATGACCGCATTTTCTGCCCAAGGTGTCGGCAGAGCAGCCTCCTTCCTGCCTGATCTGAAATCCGCCAACGCAGGTGCACGCAAAATTATGCAGATTTTGCGACGCAAGTCCGAAATACCGGTTGATGATGGCGCTGAACCAATGAAGCCTTTCAGCGGAGCTATTGAATTTCGAGACCTGCACTTCGCCTATCCTGCTCGTAAACATACTCAAGTCCTTCAGGTGAATACTTTAAGCTGGCTTTGGCCTCTCGGCTCTGCCCCTCTTAGTACACATGCGAACTCAGTATTATTTTCAGGTTACACGTGGGTTCCTTAATTTCTTGCCTCATCGGATTTACACTGATTAAAGAACATGCTTTCTAATCCACTTAAAAACGTTTATGGGACTACCGCTCAGTAAAAATGGGCAAAAATATGAGGTTACCTAGAGTATGGAAAAGAAAACGACAAGTTATAACCAATAAGACAACTCAGCAACATTTCTATGATCAAAGACTTCAAACGATAACTTGTGCACCAAATATTGCGTCAATGTCCTGTTCACAGGGTGAATAACGTGTGACTGGTAAGGGCATTTTCGAGCTTCCAATCATTCTCCTTTTTTCAGAAAAAATCAAAACAACTTCTGCCGGAACATTTTCCTGATATTTGCTTTTTTACTTCCAGGGTTTTGATCACAGTGTCACCCCCGGTTCCTCCGTGGCCCTTGTTGGTCAGTCAGGCTGTGGAAAATCGACAATTCTGCAGCTGATGCTTCGTTTCTACGAAAGTACTGACACTTCGGAGGAGAGCGGCGTTTTTATGGATGGTTGGAACATCAAGGAGCTGAGTCCAAGCTGGATCCGGTCAAGAATTGGTGTCGTTTTTCAACAATCCGACCTCTTCGACCTGACGATTCGTGAAAACATTGCCTTTGGAGATCTTACTCGGGAGTTGAGTATGGACGAGATCATAGCCGCAGCTCGGATCGCAAAGATTCATGAGTTCATCATGAGTCTTCCTCAGGTAAAAGGTCTTTTCTCATTCTCCACCAGATTTAGACCGATCGTCCCTTATCGACAGACAATGTTAATTCAAAGTTGTCACATGACGCTACTTATGGTTAACCAGGACGTGAAAACGATCGATGCATTTACTAATGCTGGTTGACATTGTCCAGCCAACTTAGCCTAGTCCGAAACCTGCAATTCAAGAATAAATTCAAACAGAAAATCTGCTACTGCAAATCCAGTCTTTGTGTTAGCATCCAAGGAACTCAAACAACCTGAGTGCGCTGCAGTAAGATGGAGTACAACCGCCAACACCCAAGTCGCACCGTTGCCATCGCCTTTACGCCTAGAGGCTTAGCGGTTCTTTTACCTTTTGAATAAATACTTAATACACTTTGGTAAAGTCTCGTGTGTAACTAGACGCGAATAGAGGGATGGTTCAGATGTTTGAATGCGTCTTGAGACAACAGACCCCAAAGTTGACCCTGGTACGATCAAAGTGATATGCTTTTGTGGATCTGTATCAACCGTCCGTCTTTGGTGTGCGTAGATAAAACGTAAACTAGCTCATTAACTGGGACTAAGCCAGTCAACCGAACATTCTTGTCCTTTCACGTTTCTATGCAAATAGAAGCTGACACTGACTTATTCCTTTTCCTCATGGAGGATAGTCCTTCCACAAACTATTGAACAAACTAATATGCATGACGCCTTTCCAACCCTCCGTGTTACTTGACTGTAAATTGGAAACACTGTCTTTATGTGTTATAACCATCTCCTAAACCCGCATACATTCCATTTAGCATTCATTCAGACAAAGTATATATGCACAGTTCAGAGGGGACCAGGAGGGAATGATGAACTTTCTCAATTTTAGCTACCGTCTTCCCACAAAGTGCGCTCAAGGCAGCCAATTTCGCACGCACCCTTATTTTATATAGTCTGTGCTATATCT